TCGATCGACGCCTATTTTAAAATATACACCGTACTTCGTATATACTCCGTATCATGCTTCCAGTTTCACGATCCAGCCTATTTTACGATCGATCAATGCCTATTTTACAATCCAGTTCTACCTATTATTCTCTGCTTGGAGAATGGCGTTGAAACAAAAAGATGGTAATCATTGTTAAATACAAGCAGAGCCCTTGTTAAAATAAATGAAGTCAACTGGGAAACTAAAACCTACTCATTTATGTCCCAAAGAAATAAAATAATGCAAATATATTAAAATAATAGACGAGCACATGTTTCCTTGCTTTTGAATGAATTCAATTTCAGATTTATATGTTTTAAAAAGTTAGCGTGTAATTTAAAAATAGATTACACACAATCAAACGATGTATTTTTATTTTACATGCAAACTATTTTACCACCTTAAACTTTACGTGCAATCATTTTGCATGTAAACTTTTAATGTGTAAACAACCAAACGGGCCCTTATGTTAATCATTTTGTTACATTCTTATATTTCCAAAAAATCTAGATCTCGCACAATCGCATTTAATTATTTTATTTTTAATCACCGAATATAATTAATTCCTAATTCCTCTTTTCCGTCCTTGTGGAGACAATACTCGTACTTACACCACTATTCTACTACATTTTTAAGTGCGAGAAAACTCACATCAAACATGTGTATATATATATAATTAAAGTATAAAAATTTTATGAAAATATTACATATAGCCGCTGAGACCATTAGCATCCCGCCGATCCTCTTCACCGCAGATCCCACAGATCTCGCCGCTTTCATCGTTTTCTTCTCCACTTCTTCTACTCAACGATTCCCCGTCCTTCTCCTCGGATCGATGGCAAATCTCATTTTCTAATGTCAAAGTTGAAGGGTGGGGGCAGGAGTTCGGGATCTGGTGGGGGCAACAATGGGGGAAGGGGTTGGGGACGGCAGGTGGCTAGGGAATACGGTTAGAGTGGGGAAAGTTGTGGTAGTGGTGGCAATCGGAGGGGGTGTGGCAGCCGGTTATACACGGTGAGGGGATGGGGTTGGTTCGAGGTTGGAGTGGCGGCGGGGCAGGGGGCTGACCATCGCGGCGGCTGGCAGTGGCATGGGGTGGTCACTAGGTGAGGAGGCAGGGGTGGTAACTGACCGGGGCGGCAATGATGGTAACTGGCCGGGGCGGCAATGATGGTGACTGGTCGGGGGCGGCAACAACTGACCAGGGCAACGGTAATTGGCTGAGGCGGCGTTAACTGACTGGGGCGACGTTAACTGGTAGGGGCGGCAGGGGTGAAAACTGACCGGGGCAGTGGCGGCAGTCAGAGGAAGGGGCGGTGTGGCGGTGTCGGCAGAATAATGTAGCAAGGCGTCGGGCAGGCGGGCGGAGGTGGGTAACTGGACGGGCAGATGGGGGCATGTAAATGTCAGTGAAGCATGTAATTGTGTAACTGTCATTAAATCATGTCACTATGTAGTTGTCACTGTTGATATGTAACGGTCACTGTATGGGTGTAATTGTAAATTTGTAATGTTAGTCACTGGGACATTGGTCGCTGTAGCGGACGACCGTCAGTAATTTGACGGGCAGAATCAGTCACTAGACGGGCAGACATTGGTCACTGAACGGGTAGATGTTGGGCGGACATTGGTCACTGGACGGACGGAAGTTGGTCACGGGATGGGCGGACGTTGGTCACTGGACGGACATACGTTGGTCACTGGGCAGGCAGAAGTTGGTCACTGAATAGGCGAAAGTTGGTCACGAGACGGGCAAACAGTGGTCACTAGGCAGAAGTCACTGTGCTATTGGACGAATTTTTGGTCACTAATGATTTTGGTCACTGGCGAATTTTTGCTTACTGGCGGATTTTGGATTTTTTGTCATTACACACATTTTTGGTCACTGACAGATTTTGGTCACTATAGTGTTACTAGTCATTGTGACGTTACTGTAGTACTTATTGGGTGGGATTATATTAATATAAGGGTATAATGGTCTACTAACCTCTTTTTAGTCAAATTTTTGGAAATTGAGAAAACATGTCACTTTTTGTCCATAGCTTTTTTTTAGTAATATTTTAGGTATAACCCCCTTTTCCACCCCTAAAAGGAGTGCATATTCTGAAAGTGTGTAAGGTTTGCAAGAGAGGAGAGGAGGATGTGAATCACATCTTCTATCTGTGTCTGGAGGTGCCGTCAGTGTGGCAGGATATGGGAGGAGCTTTTATAAGAGCAACAGCTAATTTTGAGGAGTGGTTTAATGCGTGTTGAGAGAATGTAGATGATAAAGGTCTTTTGATGATTTTGTGGGTTATCTTGAAGTGTCGTAATGATTGTGCGCGGAAGTAAAGCTACCAAACAACCCTAGCTATATTGCAATTGACAGAAGTTTATTTAAACAAATGGATAGAAACCCAAGCACATCAAACAAGCAAAATAACAAGCATCAAAGAGCAGGGTTTGGAAAGGTGGCAGAGCTGACACAATGTTGTGCGGAGTTGAATGTGGATGCCACCACGGTCAATGCAATCGGAGGAGTGCGTGCACGGGGTTGGTTGCTCCGGACATTGAGGGAGATTCCTAAGTGGGTATATTGAGTGTAAGGCCACGAATTGGACACAGAAGGAATGAAAGCGGTTGAAATTCTTGAGACATTACAAGAAGCAGCTCAAAGTGAATGACATAAGGTGATAATAGAGATTAATGTTGTTCAAACAATTATTGGAAAGGAGTGTTAGCTTATTACTTCAAGAAAGTATTGAATTTAGAGAATATTTTTGTAAGCGATCTACAAATCGAGTTGATCATATTTTTGTTAGGGTAAGAAGTGTACCTATCTCAGATTTTAGATCCCGATACAAGTACAATCTTGATTATATTGCTCGTCGCATCACTAATGACTTGTTGAATTAATGTGAAGTCCCCTTATTTATTATAAAAAGAGTAAAGTCTCACATTACCAACACCAATTACGATAATGTTAGACAAATGTTAAGAACTAGTATTCTACCCGTGCGATGCACGGGATAATAAAATTTGCAAATTAAGAATAAGCTTATTAATATAAACTTTTGTCATATAAACACATGGTTTTGTCAAATATATTACGTGGAAGATATATTTTACGCTTTTTATGGCCTTAAGTTTCTTAGGGTCTCAAAGGTTTAAAACATACTGAATAATGACTGCATGAGAATATTCTTACCCATCCTATGGCAGTAAATTTCTTACTCCTAGTGTCCCATCTTAATATTGCAAATATTTAGATATGTTTAGTCCATATGAATAGACAAATATTAGTCAATCAAAACCTCTGATCTTGATAGCCTTTGAGAGTGAAAATTTCATTAGTTTTATAGCTAGAAACTCTTCTGCTGAATTTTTTGATGTGTAATGTAGGAAGCTAAGTGATGACTTGATATGAAGACACAATAATGCCAGACCTAATGATAGAAAGTGTGTAATTAACCTCACATGGCATAGTACGTTTTATTGTCAACATATAAGGGAAAAGGTGGTCATTCAAAATAATTTGCGACATTGTACATATGATATTTTAAAATAGGGGAAATGTGCAAATATACCTCTGAAGTATATGTGGAGGTACAAATATAAACCTGATCTTCTAAAAGGTGCAAAACTACCCCTAATGTTCCTATAAAGGAACAAATTAAATTAACCCTTATTGACTTTAAATATAAAAAAAATCATACAGATAAATTTTATCAATTCAAGACCTGAAAGATAGATGAATTATCAATCCGGGACCTGAAAGATGAAAGATATCAATATAGGACCCGAATGATGAAAAACTATCAATTTAATACCTGAATGATTGAAAATTGTCAATTTAGGACCTAAGTTGTCATGAATTTTATTGATTTTTTTTTATTTTGAAAATTTTAAATATTATTTAGTTTTATGAAACTAATAAACTTATGTGAAGAAAAGTTTATCAAAAATTAGCAATGAAATTATTAAAAAAATTAAATAAGTCAAAATATATGAAACGTGAGGTCTTAGATTGATAGTTTTCCATCATTCGGGGTCCTATATTGATACGTCTCATCTTTCAGGTCCCGAATTGATAATTTATCTATCTTTCGGGTCCTGAATTGATAAAATTCCAAAAATAGATTATAAATTTAAATTTTGAAATTGAAAAATAAAAAAAATTAAAGAAGTAAAACTAAAGATTTATTTTTATGTTAAAATATTAACTCTTTAATTTTAAATAGAGAAATTATTATTTCCCCTTGTAAATGAAGCACTTCAAATTCATAATATCAATTTAGTTTTGTCGCGAATTTCGAACACATTGTTACATTTTTTCAATAACATTCTTTGGTTTTGGTAAACTTAATAAAATTAAATTCACTATTTTGTAATCATGGACTATTTATCATCATACAAAATATGTAATTTTATATTGCAAAGACTACAAAAAAGTAATGATTTTTAACATTGCAACACATAGTTAAACACTTTTCCAAAAGTGTCATAAATATATAGTAAAGATTGGAAATACTTTTTGTACTAACAATATTAAATATTATTTTAGAGAATATTACTTCAAGAAAGTATTGAATTTAGAGAATATTTTTGTAAGCGATCTACAAATCGAGTTGATCATATTTTTGTTAGGGTAAGAAGTGTACCTATCTCAGATTTTAGATCCCGATACAAGTACAATCTTGATTATATTGCTCGTCGCATCACTAATGACTTGTTGAATTAATGTGAAGTCCCCTTATTTATTATAAAAAGAGTAAAGTCTCACATTACCAACACCAATTACGATAATGTTAGACAAATGTTAAGAATTAAGATAGTCATAACATTAAGCTAACTAAACTAAATAAATAAACTATGGACAGATCATCTTTTTTGTTACCTTAAAAAGCGAACACTAATTATTAAAAAACATTTCTTTGAATGCTGGCTCTGTTATTTCTGGCAGCTTCGGTCACGATTTATTTACACTCCGCAGCGCTCAAGAGAAACGTATATCTATTGTATTCTACTCCTTCCATCTATACTTTCTTTCTTTCAGCCCTCGCCATTCTGGGCAATCCCCAATATACCCCTTTCCCCATCGGGAACCCAAGAGAAGAAAGAAGCCCACAGCCTTCCTTCTATTCCCCAACTTCGTTCTGCATAACCCCGCCTCTCTATCAATTTTCCTGCCGAAGAGTTAAATTTATTGATTCATTCTTTTCCATCTGTCGCCGGCAGTTGTTGATCGGCAGGTCACTCTACCTTCAACCATGACCATGTTGAATCCTCAGCCGTTAGATGTGAGTTTCTGCATCCCAATTCTGCAATTTTCCTTTCACTTTCGTTGTGCGTGTTTATTTGCTCTGCACTTGCTTGAAGATTGAAAATTGGCTTGATTTCTGGGCGATATGAATTCGTTCTTGCAATCTTGCATGTGGTATGAATCAACAGTAGCCAGTGGGTGAGGGTGGGGTGTGATCATATCGGCTAGGGTTTTGGTGTGGGAGCTTGTGGTTGGGATTCTGATGTGGATGCAGTGGTTTCCAGTATTGAGTGTAGCAGTTCTGGTTTTGGTATGGGGGGTTAGGTCTAGGGTTTTGCTGGATCATAGTGTTTAGGTTAATGGGTATGCTTAAAGTTTGGTGCTTACTGTCTTTTCATTTTCAAAATTTCAATAGCAGGAAGAGGAGGAGATGCTTGTGCCACACTCTGATTTAGTGGAAGGTCCTCAGCTTCCAGTAGAAGGCCCTCAGCCAATGGAAGGTTTGTTCTGTTACTGTTTGAAATTTTGTATGCAGAAGCTCCATGTTTGAAGCCTGAATATATCTTCCTTATTCCTGATTTTCTGTTTCTTTCTTTAATTTACAGTGACACCAGCAGAGAATGCTACTGCGGAAAACCAAGCTGTGGATGAGCCGCAGCTTTCACGCTTTACATGGAAAATTGAGAATTTTTCTAGGTTGACTGCAAAGAAGCTATACTCTGAAACTTTCACCGTGGGTGGTTATAAATGGTAATAATAAGTTATGTAAAGTTGTGTCGTTTGTTATACTACCATGTTTTGGATGGTTTGGCTGACATTGATTCTGACAGGCGAGTGCTTATATTTCCTAAAGGAAACAATGTGGACTGTTTGTCTATGTACTTGGATGTGGCAGAGTCAGCTAATCTGCCTTATGGGTGGTGTAGATATGCCCAGTTTAGCTTGGCTGTTGTGAATCAATTAAATTCCAAGTGTACCGTCAAAAAGGGTATTTTCTTTTGCCGTTCTGCTACACATATCCTGTATAACTAATTTAGTTTTCAATTAATTTTTGAGCTATGTACTTATAAGCTACAGTTTTTTTTTGCCGTTTACAAGTATTTCTCCTTGTTCTACGAGCACATCTATAATATGTTGCATGCTTTTCGTAGAAGTACGGGAGGAAGCGGACTGTATGAGAGTGTTAAGTGGACCATCTTCATTATATTTAATAAACATTTTAAATAGCGGTTAACTTATACTCTTCTAGTTTCGAGAAACCTTGTGGTGCAGTCAGCAAGGGAAAAAAATCCATTTCACGAAGAATGGAAAACATGATTGGGTTTATGATGTTTGTTTTTTCAAGTTTGCTTCTTTGTCAAAACTTAAAAATGGAAGATAATTTCTGTTTTTTCAACTTCCTTAACAAAGTTGGAAGCAATCCAATGAGTCTCCATTTGGATAAGAAAGGGTGAATCACATGTGTTTGGTGAAGGCTGCCTAACCTGTTTCCCCAGGCTTTTTTATGCTCCAACTTTGTCATGTGTTTTGAGAGTGAAGATAGTAGAGTTAAATAAATGAGAACAGAAAGTGGAAATCACTTTCATTACTTTATTTTGTTGTTACTGTATTGAACCCGGAAGAATCCACTTTGTATATTAAAATCTTGTCCCAGACATTTGCACAGTTACAGGTTTATTTTGAAGTCATAAGGATTAATTATATCGGACAGGGAAAACAATTGATTATATCTTTCATATAATTGAGGACTTTTGTTTGCCAACTAAGAATTAAGAGGACTTTCATATATGTAACTTGAGCGGTGCTTCTTTGACATCCTTTAAGATTATAACCTCACTTTTGATAATCTGGGTGGCTGATAGCATATACTGATATACTAAATGTCTTTATTTTTATGTAATATTATGTTATGTTACAATGCAAGTAATCATTCGTGAATCGTGAACATTCAATGGCATGGAGACAATTGCTCTCAATTTGAACTTTATCCTTTCATGAACATAGAGATTTTCGTTTATTCCCTTCTCTATTTTGGTGAACTCTTTGTTCACCTTTTCATGTTCAAAGCATGATTGGTATGAGCAAAAATGATGGTTGGCTAGGACAATAATAAAGCAAAACCAAATTTCAAATATCTACATGTACAATTGACTCCCATTTGTAGTTAAGATTGATCGCTGAAGCCGTAATCTTCTCACCGAGGCACAATGCGCAGCCTCCACTCCAACTCGCCCAAAAAAGAAGTATCCAATCTATCAAATTAGTAATGCAATGTTGCAGTGCATTGTTGCCTCTACGTATCTTGTGAATAGATGGTAAAATAGTACATTATTTCTTGCCCTAGTTAATATAACCTTTCTGGTTAAAATTTGCAGAGGCACAACACCAATTTAACCAACGAGAGAGTGACTGGGGTTTTACATCTTTCATGCATCTCAATGAGATTTATGACCCTCACAAGGGTTATCTTGTGAATGATACCGTTGTGATTGAAGCTGATGTTGTAGTGCGTAAGGTGATTGATTATTGGACATATGACTCAAAAAAAGAGACTGGTTATGTTGGGCTTAAGAACCAAGGAGCAACATGTTACATGAACTCTCTGCTACAAACTTTATATCATATTCCTTACTTTCGAAAGGTCTGGATATCACAATAGTTATTTAACACATGTCTTGAATCATGCTGCTATTTTGGATAGACCAATTCTCATGTTGCGATTATACCTGTCAGGCTGTTTATCATATGCCAACTACAGAGAATGATATGCCCTCTGGAAGCATTCCTTTGGCACTGCAGAGTTTATTTTATAAACTTCAGTATAGCGATACTAGTGTGGCAACAAAAGAATTGACAAAGTCATTTGGATGGGACACTTATGATTCTTTCATGCAGCATGATGTGCAAGAACTTAATCGAGTATTGTGTGAAAAGCTTGAAGATAAGATGAAGGCATGTTGTTACATTTATTAAATATGCTGGTGTGATTGTAAATATGCCTTATCTAATATTTGGGTAGTTACGCAACTGATCCAGGGTACAGTTGTGGAAGGGACAATACAAAAGTTATTTGAAGGGCATCATATGAATTACATTGAGTGCATAAATGTGGACTTCAAATCAACAAGGAAAGAATCATTTTATGGTATGCATTTTGTTTTCCCTAGGCTTGATTGCGTAATCTTTGATTTATTTTGAATTGTTTTCTGTTTCCACTTCTGTAGATCTTCAACTTGATGTCAAGGGCTGTCGTGACGTTTATGCTTCCTTTGACAAATACGTTGAAGTCGAACGTCTTGAGGGTGATAACAAGTACCATGCTGAAGAACATGGTTTGCAGGTATCCAATGGTCATAGACTTGGATTCTGAGTTTCCATCCATCTATTGGAAACATCAAGGGGCTGTTTAATACCATCAGTTTTTCCATTTTTGAAAAGTGTAAAACAAAATGGCCTTTCAAATTGAACCAACCTGATAAAGGTATTTGAAACAGAAAAAGTAGTTTGTTTATTTATCAGAAGTCTCCCATCCAGCCACCACAACTACCACTATTACTTATTCACACCCTTTCTTCCATCATTCTGTACCCACTCACCCCAATAGACTATAACTGCCACCTAGACCATCTTCATTGATTTCATCACTTATTTAATCCTCCTTTACCTCACCTCCTTTATCTACCACCTACCTACCTATCTTCCACCCCCAGAACCATCATTACCACCATGATACTACCCTTACAACTCTTTACCTTCCTATCTACCTGGTTATCACCACCACTGCTCCTCAATACCATTTCCCATTCAAAAGAATTGTATATTCCCTCTTATGAAAGGTTCACCAAAATTTCAAATAACTTTGTAATCTATGAAGAGCTTAGGAAGTAATTGAATTTGATCTTTTTTATAGGCTTCCAACATAAAGTAACACCTTGGAAAATTATTGAGAAGTGAGCTGAAAATGGAGAACTATTTTTGTTACTCAGTATGCCCGAACTGCTCAATTGTTATTATAAAGCACTAAGCATGGATATTATCATGAGCTAAACTGCTTCTTGATAAAGTATGTGGGTATGAATTACTGGCAGGATAGACATACACACTAAAATGATGCATTGCATAATGAAGGCCCCGATTACTATGGTGGATCAGCAAGATGTAGTTGCAGATTTAGAAATGCACCTGGGACTTCTATTACAAATCACACCATTCTTGTTCCTTAATTATTTCAATTGAGGATAATGTGTGTCTTCACACACATTGAATAAAAGATGGTCCTTGGTGAAAAAATGAGAATGAATATGATGCATTAGATTGATGATCTAATATTTCAAAATTTAAGAGAAAGTAAATAAAAAAGCAGTGGCCAAATTCTAATTTAAGTGCAACTTCTGCGACCACAGCTAAAGGAAAAGGGCATACCGTGATGCTAAAAGTGAAATCACTCTCTAATAAAGATGCATCATTTTAACTGTTCGTGTTTTTCATGGGAAAACTACTTTTTACACGAACTGGACCCTATATATATGGTCCGGTTCAGGTAAAAGGTAACGTGCAACCGATTAAAGCTTAATTGTTACCATGCCAAGGCATCGAAGTCATTCCCTATATATGTGTGAACGTGTATATGTATGTATGTATATGTGTATGGATATGCATTAAAAAGAATGTAGATTAAACACCCTTGTTTTTAGATCTGTGAAGTGTCAAGTCTGTTTAGCCCAATAGGAGATGTGTTCCTGAGTGTTGGCAAGTTGTCTTGTGTAAATGATTTTTTTGTGATGGTCTTTTGTGTTTTGTTCAACTTGTTCATTTGCAGTGTCAAATTTTCCTGATGTGAATTTCATGTTTTGATGGTTTCCCATTTTGCAGGATGCTAAAAAGGGTGTATTGTTCATTGACTTCCCTCCAGTTCTGCAGCTTCAGTTAAAGCGGTTTGAATATGATTTCATGCGAGATACTATGGTTAAGGTTAGTACTTGGAGTTGGTAAAGATGGTTATTTTTTTGTTTCTACAATTTCATAGGAGTTTCTGGTCTAACCTCTTAATGTTATTGCATATTTCATCGTATAAAAATTTATATTTTATAATCTCCTATTATTAATTATTATAGCTTTTTAGCTTTATCTTTTCATGTTTTATTTATTTATTTATTTATTTATTTATTTATTTATTTATTTATTTATTTATTTATTAATTAATTAATTAATTAATTAATTAATTAATTAATTAATTAATTAATTAATTAATTAATTAATTATTTGTACAAGAATATGTACCATAAGATACTGCTTATGTAGTTATATTCTACATGAGTATTAGTTATAAGGTCAATTTGTGTCAACTTAACCCAACAAATCTTGACTAATTCTGCCTGCGAAGAGTGTTGTTTTCCTTTTTCAATATCTTCTTATAGTCTTGTTCTGCATAGTGCTTTGCTGCTTGGCCTGTTCTTGAATTTTGTATACTCTTAGTCTCTCTTCTTGCATTATTGTTGTCCATCCATCGTTTTTATTCTATCCTGAGTGGTTTGTTAGGATTTCCTTTGGTGATCTAGGCTAATTCCCTGAAACATTTCTCTTATCCCCGACGCAGAAATGCTTCACTTCCAGTGTTGATAGAAATTTTCGGGAAGTGACAGCATGGGTGGGCAAAGTGACAAACCATTATATAGCATGACTTAAGTGTTTGACTTATTGTTTACCAGCTTCCTCTTAATGATATAAATATGTGACTTATTGACATAAAGTGTTCATTATCAAGCACTTGTGGTTATTATAATACCCGCATCTTTGTGCAGATAAATGACCGCTATGAATTTCCGCTGGAGCTTGATCTTGATAGAGAGGATGGAAAATATTTGTCTCCTGATGCTGATAGGAGTGTTCGCAACCTCTATACTCTTCATAGGTAAACTTCTTTTGTCTGTATGGAAGGAGTACACTTGTATTTGATGTTCTAGGTTTGTATGCGATGTATTTAAAAGCACTACCATCTGTCTCCTTTTTGTTGGCAGTGTGTTGGTTCATAGTGGTGGTGTGCACGGTGGGCACTATTATGCTTTCATTAGGCCTACACTATCTGATCAATGGTATGCTTATTTTAATGAACTGCTCATCACTGTAAACTCTCTGTTCTGTTTGTGAAGTTTCTATTCTCCAAAAACCTGCAGTTCATTGCCATCATTTGATTTTCTGTTAGGTACAAATTTGATGATGAACGGGTCACCAAAGAAGACCTGAAAAAGGCTTTAGAAGAACAGTATGGGGGAGAGGAAGAGGCAATGCCCTTCTCTTTTACCCCTCTAAATGTTTTAACCTGCTGCACTATTTTCTTTTTCTGATGACTGACTTTCTCTTTGTGTTTTATAATAGTTGCCACAGACAAATCCCGGGTTCAACAACACTCCATTTAAATTTACAAAATACTCGAATGCTTACATGCTCGTTTATATACGTGACACTGACAAGGATAAGATAATCTGTGATGTTGATGAGAAGGATATTGCTGAGCATCTTAGGGTAGGCTCTTCAGATTTGCTTCTGTGTCTTCAAATAATTTTTTATATTGTAATCAATAATGCTGGTTGACCTTATTCCAGATAAGGTTGAAGAAAGAACAAGAAGAGAAGGAAGATAAGAGGAGATATAAAGCCCAAGCCCACCTTTATACCATTATCAAGGTTGTCTTAATTAAAGTTGAGACATTCCCTAAATTGTTGTTTCCCAGAAGACATATTTAATGAACAAGTCATACGTGTAGGTTGCCCGCGATGAGGATCTTAGAGAACAGATTGGTAAGGAGATCTATTTTGATCTAATTGATCATGAAAAGGTTCATAGCTTCCGTATCCAGAAACAAATGCCTTTTAATCTTTTCAAGGTACTTACAACTGTTTATCAATTCATTTACTAGGAGTGCTTTTACCAAATGGAAACTGTAGTAACTTGCTGCTTATTTTTTCCTCAAGTGTGCTGAAAGTGTAAAAGCTATTTGTTCTTGCCTTTGACTTGACTCTTTTATTTAATCTTGTGTTCCTCAACTTAAAACTTAGAAGTGTGGTGTCTGATACTTAAATTTCAAGATCAGGGAATTATTTAATAATAACTTCCATGAAGAACAAGATGTGGTTTACACATTTGAGTAACCGGATGCAAACGACTGCTAATTGAATGATATGACTTTTAAGAGATTGGGCATATTGAAGTGTCCAAAACCTGAGATGTTTATAATTTCTCTCACTATAATAGAGTACAGTTTCTTTTGAAACACAGAAAATGCTAGGAAAAGAAAACTCTAAACCCAGAAGTACTTACAAATAAATGCCACATATGAATGTGCACAATAAATGTACAAAAATCATGTATGCCTATCTCTAAAAGAAAATGAAGAGGAAAGTATATAGGAAATTCGGAAGGAAAAAAGTTGAGGAAAATTAAATATTAATTCGAACACAATAAATTATTATTTAATATTTGTTCAAATTATTTGTATTTATATATTTGTATTATATAAATACTAAACACAAAAATGGTTTTAATAATCATATTTTATTTTACTTGTTGCTATTTCCTTTTGTTCCCTAGTTTCCTAGCATTTTCCAGTATTCAAACAGCCTACATATATGAAAAAGTTCGCAGATGATCAAGCTACGTGCCTGTGGAGCTGCTTTGTAAAAATATTTACTTATCTGGCAAATTCCACACAATGTATAAGTGATGAAAAATCAGCTGTGCTAAATTGCTAATTGGATTTCTAGTCTGTCCCTCCTTGTTCTCTCACCCTTCTGTCATTCAAACAAAATTTTGTGCCTTGTATATCTTTTATTTGTTTAAATGTGGCCTGTGTGTATAAATCTTGTAAACACCAAAGTATAGAAGTGGTGAATATGGTAACATGCTATTACGTTTGAAAAATCTCTGAACTTTTAGTATCTTTACATTTTACTACTTATATCATTTGGAATTGAATTTTGAGTATATCCATGTATATTTTGTTGTCAAGCACATGTATAAAGGGCATCATTTTCAATCTGGTTTTACTTTTTATACTCTTCACGTGTGTGTGTATGTTTTTGTCACCTAAGTTATTGATCATGGGTGTTACAGGAGGAAGTTGCCAAAGAATTTGGCATACCTGTACAGTTTCAACGTTTTTGGATTTGGGCAAAGCGGCAAAATCACACTTATCGTCCCAATCGCCCATTGACTCAACAAGAGGAATTACAGACAGTGAGTTTTCTCTGTCTCGCTGGGTTCTGTTTTGTACTTTGTGCATGATTTATTCTTTACATCATGACAAGTTGCGTATGGAGATAGTTACTAACAATATTTTTGAACAATATTTACTAGAGGACTCGATAAATCCAATGATTTTGTTACCTTCAACTGAGCAATTCTGTTTGAACTGTCATTTTGTGTGTAACTTTTGTCTACAGTGTTAATTGTGCCTTTTAACTCATGCATCCATTTTTATATGCAGGTAGGGCAGTTGAGAGAAGTCTCTAACAAGACAAGTGCTGCAGACCTTAAGTTATTTTTGGAAGTGGAGTATGGACCGGTAACTTCCTTTTCACCCTCGTCATATAAATTGTTTCTCTATGTGTTTCTTTTTGAACTAGTTGTTACTATCTTAAAACAATTTCAGGATCTACGTCCCATTCCTCTACCTGACAAAAGCAAAGAAGACATACTTCTTTTCTTTAAGCTTTATGATCCTGAAAAAGAAGAATTTCGGTAAGCTGTTCTTTGCAAGAGAAGAGTAACTTATCTGTTTGCTTGTAGTGGGTTTATTTCTCACTATGTATACATTCGCGGTGTATTTCAAGGTACGTGGGTCGGTTTTTTGTGAAGAGTACTACTAAACCAATTGAAATATTGGCAAAACTGAATGAACTAGCTGGATTTGCTCCTGATCAAGAAATTGAACTTTTTGAGGTTTGTGTTATTACATTGTTATCATACCCTGTGTAATTGTTACATTGATCACTTCACCGTGTATCTTGTATACCCTTATCCACTGAATGAACTTGCTACTTGTTTAGATGGTGAATGATAAATTATGTCTTTTGTTATTCTTGTTATCTTTATTTCGTTATTTCTTTCTGATTAGGAAATTAAATTTGAGCCTACCGTCATGTGTGAACGCCTTGACAAAAGGGTTTCATTTCGCTTCAGCCAGGCATGCATTTATCTTCCTTCTTTACCCCAAGTGTTCGATCCAGAAGTAGACTTCCAACTTCGATGACAGATTTGTTATAATTTTTTCCTGCCAGATTGAAGATGGTGATATTATATGCTTTCAAAAGCGGTCTATCTCTGAAATTGAGCGTGTCAGATATCCGCTTGTCCCTGCATTTTTGGAATATGTTAAAAACCGCCAGGTAATTCTTCCCTGGTGTTTTTTTTGCACGTACTGTGAACAAGTGAATAGTCATAGGACTGATCACCGTCCAGAACTAGACCGGCCTGGAATATTCCAGGTTTGGCCTGAATGATCTGGTGTTGTACCGGAGTTGTTTTTTATTTGGCTTTGGTAGCTCATAATCTTTTTAATAAATTTTTGTTTGTCTAAATATGTTTTTTTCATAATAGTTTTTCATTAACAAAACCACAAATTGGTTTTTGCCTTTTTTTGTAAACTTCAAAACATTTATTTTTGTGTGCATATGAACGCTTCTATTTATTATGTTATCGAAAACAAGAAGACATTTTTAGCAGTGCATGCAGTACAATAAAACTTAATTGGTGTTCATGCTCTATAAGCTTTTGTTCTATGTAATGCAGGTTGTACATTTTCGGGCTCTTGAAAGGCCGAAGGAGGATGATTTTTGTTTGGAGTTGTGAGTTTATTGAACTTTTTTGCTACATTGTCAGTTACTTGTTGAGTTTGGTTTTGATAAGTTTTTTACCATTGCCATCCGTTTGTAGAGCAAAAAATCACAATTATGGAGAAGTTGTAGATAGAGTGGCTCAGCACCTTGGTTTGGATGATTCATCCAAAATTAGACTTACTCCTCACAATTGTTATTCTCAGCAACCCAAGCCCAATCCAATCAAGTATCAGGGAGTTGATCACTTGGTCGACATGCTTATTCACTACAACCAGGTGAGTGAAATTTCAGGCAATGCTATCTTTTTACGAGAGAAATAAAGCCGTGGATCTGGTTCAGGAAATTCCATATATGTGAGAGGTTTTAAGGATTTATGGCAGTGGAATTGTTATTCGGGAAAACAGGATATAAATGCACTGACTGTAATTCTCTTTTCTTTTTGTCAGATTTCTGATATATTGTATTATGAAGTTCTTGATATCCCTCTGCCAGAGCTACAGTGTCTCAAGACACTGAAAGTTGCATTTCATCAGGCCACAAAGGATGAGGTATTCTAAACCATTAGTTGCTATGTTTTTAACCAGAATAAGTTTTCTAATGCCATTTTATAAGTTTATATGTTTCCAGGTTGTAATTATCAATGTTAGGCTGCCAAAACAGAGTACTGTTGGAGATGTGCTTAATGAAATTAAAACCAAGGTATCAATATTGTGTTCTGTTTCAGGGGACAGTCTTTCTGGTTACCATCGGGAGTTTTCTGTTTATTATTGCAACGTCGGGATGATAATGCCCCTTGTTAATATCGCTGAGTTTATTTTCCCTCGACTATCTTTGGAGCATGTTTTTTCTTGTTGGAATATATGGTATATGTTTCCCATTTTTATTACTAGCTAAAGCATTGTACCAAATCAGTTTGATCTCCATCTTAGTTTAGTTATGGATTTATGTTTGTAGTGTTATAAGTATATCCACATGCCGTGCATTTCTTTCTGTCTCGGTCAGTTGCCCACCAACCTCCTCTTCAAATATTATAAAAACAAAAAATTTCAATAGCCTTGGTGAGAGTATTTTCCATTACTTTTTATGCTAATTTTAGATGATAACATTCTAACAGTGAGTTGATAATCTAGAATGGCAATTTTGCGGTGGTGAATTTGAAATGTTATATATTTGTTGCGTGTTGAAAACAGGTTGAGCTGTCCCATCCAAATGCTGAACTTAGATTGCTTGAAGTCTTCTATCACAAGATATATAAGGTGAGGTGTCAGTAGGAGCACTTGCTATATCATTAGTTTTTTTTTTAAATACCACATTCACATTTTACTTGTGAAATTGCAGATCTTTCCATCCAATGAAAAAATCGAGAACATAAATGATCAGTACTGGACGCTACGTGCTGAAGAGGTGAGCAGTCAGTTTGAGAATATAATGATTGACAGAGGTATATATTTGTTTGTGCATTATGTTCACCTGTATTATAATACTGCATCTGTTCTTCATTTATATTCTACAGATACCTGAAGAAGAGAAAAATATTGGCCCTCATGATCGCCTAATTCATGTTTACCATTTCACAAAAGAGACATCTCAGAATCAATTGGTATGTTTAACATATACTTATATTTAGGTTAATGCTGAATGCTATTATTCAAGACCTTATTTTTTTTCCTGAACAGCAAGTTCAAAACTTTGGAGAACCCTTCTTTTTGGTAATCCATGAAGGCGAAACATTAGCTGAGATTAAAGCTCGTATTCAAAAGAAATTGCATGTTAATGAAGAGGAGTTTTCCAAGGTATATGTTGTTTTCACTGTCATGCACTCTAGTGCCTTTCAGGGTTTAGGTTCCTAAAGCCTAATAGTTTTCTTGTTATTAACTGGCCATTCTTTTTGGATGCACAGTGGAAGTTTGCATTTTTGTCATTAGGACGCCCAGAATATCTTCAGGATTCTGACATTGTGTCCAGCCGTTTCCAGGTCATTTGGTTTACTACAACTTGTATTAAGCTCTTCTTTTTTAGTTGTTCTTCCCGACTTTCATGAACTTGTGATTATTTTTATCAATTTGGAAATGTTTTGGAATTGGCATGTCATGTTTATTATCTCTTGAACTATATTAGACATTTTTGTTTTGTTTTGTTTTACAGAGGCGAGATGTTTATGGTGCTTGGGAGCAGTACCTTGGTCTTGAACACTCTGATAATACTCCAAAGAGGACTTATGCTGCTAGTCAGGTAAATATCATTTTAGCATATTACATCTGGAGCCTTTATTATGACTACATACCTTTTACAGTCATCGTTACAAAGCCCTCTCATTTCCGCTTGTTTTCTTCTTCGGTTGCTTGCAGAACCGTCACACTTATGAAAAGCCAGTTAAGATCTACAACTAAAGATAGAAGCAGTTCTAGAGTTTGTGTGAACATATGCCAGGAGCACCACAATATGTACTGGGAAACTTGAGGCAGGGGAGTAGAGTCGGAGTAGTTGTTACCAGTTTCCCTTTCTGGTGTTTGTAACATTCTTCCTTCACCTTTTCTTTTCTTTTTCCCTTTTAATGGTGTTTTCACTGAACTGTTCCCCCCTCCCACTAGCTAGCTACTCGTTGCTTTGGTAGGCCGAACATGAATCATTGGGCGGTGACGTGGAGTGTTTTTTCCCTCCCGTATTGTAGTATCTCGACATATACACCTGTTTTCAGTTTGTGTATTCTTTGCAGCTGGTGGCTCCGCTGTAGAGCGATCCCTCGAATTTATAGTTCGTGTCCAAGTCGTGCATAGAAAGATTTTGGTATGAAGAATGTATAGTATATATAATATAGTTGGCCGCATTCTGAATGCTCATGTTTTCATTTTTAGAATTCCATTCTATTGATTTGCCGACAGCAGCCAATCTTGTAACAGAACGACCTTGTTTCTTGTGCTTGATCGTAATGCATAATTCCATGTGTGTTTTTATATGGAATTTGGAAATGAATTTATTGCTTCAAAACTTCAACTCAATGAGCAATAACACTCGCTCACTTGGTAAAACCTCTTTTGATGCATGCCCTCAACTTCTTACACATTCCTATATTCGCATTCTACTAATATGGGAAGGGTTTCATGGTGGAGCATCTGACCCAACCATTGTTCTAAAACCCATCATCCATACTCATGGTCTACAAAGTACAAAGCATGTCATGTGAGCTGTGTGCTAACTGCCTAACTTGTGCTGAGAAGTGCATATGCCTGTTCAGAGTGGCCCTAACTGGATGTTGCTCCTGCTAATTTACCAGCTATCTTCCAGTTGAATGATACTCCCTTTGTATCTATTGTTTGTTAGGGTAGAGGCTGGCACAATATTTAAGAGAAAAGAGGTAGGGCCGTAGGGGTAGTGAATAGTGAAAAAAGGAGTGGAAAAGTATGAAAAGAACATGAAAAGTAGAAAAAGTAATGTTATTTGATTATTTGTAAAGGGAAAATTATTACAAAGGAAAAGTGCAGCAAATAAAAGAATATGAAGGGAGTAATGTGTCTTGCTTTTATTTTTTGGAAATGCTATTAACAATTAAACAATTGTAACGATAAAAACCTATAACTCTGGAGTCTGGACTAGCTGATTGACTGATATCAGTTTGGAACTGGTACTTTTGATCCCAGTTACTACCCTTTTTCTTTCAAGAACCGCCGGTCTAAGGATCAAAACATGCCTAATCCGCCCCTAGGATGAAGGTGTTCAAATTTGAATATTCATTCTATGGTTAGTGACATTCATTCTGTACTTGGTATTTGGTAATTTGTATATGATAATGGAATTCAAATAATGTCATTAGCACACAAACACTTGCTAAATTAAGCTATGGCGCATCAAATGGGGCTAAAACAACAATCTGTATATAACCGTATAGCAAATGAGCATTGCAACTTAACAACCAAGTCAAATTTGAGTGACAAAGAGAGATTGAGTTACTCTTGACTTGAGTTCAAAACGCAACTCGGACTGCATTGTTAATGAAAACTGATACTCATTCCACATTGATGACATGTTCTGGCCTTCAATAGCACTTTCATTTTAGGAACATCTTGTGTGCACAAATAAGAAACAACAGACTTTATGAAGCCAACAAGAAGTTGATGGATTTCTTTCAATAATTTAGAATGCATATAAAGTTACCTGACACACTTTGAACAGAATAAAAAACATCTAGCACAAGATGCAATCTTGCAATATGCACTCATACCACCCTAATGCAAGGCTTTTGATAAAAAAAGGGAAGCCCTGTGCGCTTCGTTGTTCCCGTAAGGCGAGAGTACGGAAAGGATCTCATCACAAGGTTTTGTTTATATTATGATTAGAATGTCAAATGCTAACCCTGATTGTAGCTAGCATAGCCCATCTTAATGATATTACATCATTAATACAAACTGTCTTGTTGTTTTTACTTCATACGTAGTGATGGAGTTGTGGAACTATTATAACCTTCCACATCGTCCAGAAATGGACGGTTACATGCTGTAATTAAGCCTAAAGAAGGCACCCAAATTCTTGTACAAATTTTGGTTTGGTATATACTGAAACACCGTCGAACGTTCTAAACAACATACACTTTACAAATTCCATACTTGAGTTTTTGTCAAAGCCTTTGAAGGGTCTATGGGGGGTCCCATTTTGGACCAACACATACTTAGTTATCAAGTAAACATTATGAATCTTATAATGTGAAATGCATGTCCCTAAGAGCCAACTCATCGACATCTCATTGTATTTTCTAAGCAAGTAGAGAAGTCTAGAATGCCAGTTTTGAAGTCTAATCTCACTATTCTTTCATAACAAGCTCACAACAATAAGGGCATAAAACTTTGTGACCTTTTTCCCATGTGCACATATTGGTGTTAACCATATAAAAAATGCTTGATATACCCACTCTTATACCCACCATTTTGTGAAAGTTATTTTTGTCTGTGAACCCATATTTTGCACAGGTTCACAGACAATATTTTGCATGTGCAAAATATTGTCTGTGAACCGGGATTCATAGACACAAAAAAACTTTCACAAACATAGGTGAGTACAAAAGTGGGTTAAGAGCGAGTACAAAAATCATTTTTGTAACCATATTAGCCTTTAGGCTAACTCAATGATTAATTATTAAGGTGTTGCAGATGAAAAATATTGAACTAAACCGTTGTCTAACGGTTTTCAAGTTGGATTGACTTGAATACTTCTTTCACACTAGCTTCTCTGGACTTTGTAGTACTTGCAATCAAAATACAGGAAAAATTATAAATTAATTGATATTAATCTGTCCATAAGATTACAATGAAAACTTACTACTGTGAAAGAAGCATCCAAATGCATCTACAACCACAATACATGGAGTAGAATTGAATGTGAGATAAACTGAAAAAGAAGGATAGAAATCAAATCAAATTATACTAATTATGTCCATTTCATTTTAAAAAGACACTATATTTACTAATACTAACATATCTTTCTTGTAAATCATTTGTAATATAAACAATCAAGGGCAAATTCAGTAACTCAAGTTGCACTCGATTGAGAAATAATAAACATTAACGAAGTGGACTAAATATGCAAAATGAAAACTTTTATACTAAAAAATTGAAAAAAGTTATCGTCCCGAGTGTCAACCCACCATAACTCTAGCATAAATCTTTCCCTCACATAGGAATTCCTAGTTATTACAAGGTAAAAGGTATAAATATACCCCTGTAGTATGGGTGTGAGAACAAATATACCACTGTTCTATTTTTTGGAACAAATATACCCCTGAAGTTTATGTGGAGGTGTATATATACCTCTAAACTTTTAAAAGGTGCAAAATACCCCTCATGTTCCTATAAAAGAGCAAATTTACTCTTAATGTTTTAAATAAATAAAATAAATTTTAAATATACTTAAAATAAATTATAAATTCGAAATTGAAAAATAAAAATTTAAGATTTCAAAATAAAGAATTATTTTATGTTAAAATATTACTCCGTAACTCTTTAATTTAAATTTCTAAATTATTGTTTTTCCATTGTAATTTGTAAATGAATCAATTAAAATTCACAAATATTAATTTTAGAGTTGTTGCGATATTTTAAAATTAAATCCACTATTTTGTAATCTTAGAATATTTATCATCTTTGTAATTTTATAGTGCAAAGAATAAAAAGTCAACACTTCCCGAAAGAATCTTAAATACTACGTATATGGTAAAGTTTTGAAACAATATTTTATACTAACAATATTAAATTGTGATAAAAAAATAATAAAAGGGAGAATTGGCCAAAAGTTGATTTTTATTTCTATTTTATTTTTCAATTTCAAATTTTACAGTTTAAAGTCAATAAAGGGTAAATTTGCTCTTTTATAGGAACATGAGGAGTATTTTTGAACTTTTTTAAAGTTAAGGGGTATATATATGCACTTTCACGTAAACTTTAGGGGTACATTTGTTCTAAAAAATAGAACATGAGTATATTTGTTCCCACGCGCCACGCCTATATTAGAAGGGTACATTTGTACCTTTCTCCGCCACATTTTAAGTGTCTTACTTTTCTTTTTGGATTGTCCCAAAATAAGTATCACATTTTTTTAAAAGAATGTGGTCTATAACATTTTTCTTTGTCATATTCAAATCTCAAGCATTACTTATATTTTTTAATTATTTTATTAATAATTGTGTCAAATCAAGACATGCGTAGTTATTACCCCGTACTACATTTCATTTTCTTCACCTCTTTGCCTCTGTACGGAGTAATTTATAACTATTGAAGTCTAATGTGGGATCCAAAACTATCAAAAGTAAAAACATCACACCTACGCATATCCAAACCCGTCTCTAGACTTCATTGTTTTTCTTGCTGGGTAAGAAACTCTACTCTACTAGCTTGAAGTGTCCTTCCCGTGTTCGCATTCTTCCGGCTTTGGAGATCCGCTTGACCTAACTGAAAATGTTTCTCACCAGGTAAAAGATTCACATTTTGTTCAATTTATCGAGCTACGGCCTTTTCTGAAACCTACCTTGTACTGACAACTGTTAATCTGCCCCCCATATTTTCTTCGTTCTGATGGGTGGAGTAAAGAACGGAGTACGATCGAGGTGTAAACACCTTTTCTCCTGAAGGTCGTCTGTTCCAAGTTGAGTATGCTATTGAAGCTATTAAGGTAATTCTGTGCTTTATTTAAATATTTCTCCCTGTTATTTTAATCGAATGATATATGCTATGGAGCATCTTTGGACTAACTCGTAAGTGGATTTGGAGCTGTGATTTTTGTACTTGTGTTTTTAATGTGTTGTAGCTCGGTTCGACTGCTATTGGGATAAAGACTAAAGAAGGAGTTGTTATTGCTGTTGAGAAGCGCATCACTTCTCCACTCCTGGTCTGGTTTTCATTGAAATCCTTGTTCGTCTAACGCTCAGAAGTCATATCCTTAATTATAATATGGTGTTCATAATCTTTTATGCATATGTTATATAGTACTTATCTCTGGAGAAGTATTTTTGTTTTTCAGTTAATTCTGATTTCTGAGTCATAGTAGTGTGATGGACTGATGGTCCTGGTTGCATAAAGGTTGAAACTAAATTGTTTTTTACTTGATGAGAGCGACAGATATTGCAGTTTTGAGTCAGTACTTGTTCAGAGAGAGGAAAAGAAAATAGAATTGGGCTTGAGGGAAATGACATGGTAGTGTTGAAAACATGTCTGGTTTACTGAATACAAGTATACATGTGCATTAAGGGGTGTTTTGGCATGCAAAGCTGCAATTCTAGCTGAAAGCTGATAAGTTAGTAGGTAGGAGTCACAAAGTTGAAAGCGTAATTGGGGTCAGAAGCGTTTGGTGAAATCAGTGGTTGATTAACTCATTTATGTAGAAAGGCCAAAAAAACACTCCTAACTAGATGAATAGAGTCATTTTTTTGTAAGAGAATAAGGTGATTAATCTATTATTGAGAAAACATAAAAAGCTAGGTACTTATTATGGAAAGCGTTTAGTATATAGTTTATTTG